TCTTCTTCTTCCACTTCTTCGTCCTCGTCTCTCTCTTCTTCCTCTCCAACTTCGTATTCTACCTCAGTGTGGGCATCTAATGTTGCCCTAAGCATAATTTCTCTATTCTCCATCTCTTTGTCTGCTTCTGCCATATTTTCTTTAGCATGCTTTTGGGACCGTGTTGGACCAATTCCGTATACCTCACTCATTCGATTTGAATTGTGTCCCTGCCTATCTGGGTGCCAAGAACTCAGCCTTCCTCGGACTTTGCCAGGATTTGAACCATGTAGATGTGCATCTGTCCTACGCTCCAGCACCGAGACTGAACCCTCCATACATGACTTTTTAGACTTGATTGGCCTTACTTTTCCTCGATTGCTACAAAATCTTTGAGTGGATCCAGAAATACGCGTCCTTTTTGGACCTGAAATAACATGACGAGGTCCTGGTACCGCCAATTTTCTTGCTTCCTCATTCATATGGTTATCGTTTCCCCTTTTTCCTTCAAAATGCACCTCTGCATGACCGTCATCGTCAGATAACACAGAAGGGCTGGTTGTGGCGAAAGAGGAGGCAGTACTGAGAGAGTCGAAGAACTCCTCTGGGAGCTCTTTACCATTAAGATCACAGTTCTTGAGGTTACCAAGCCAGAAAGCAGATGCACATTGGTGATGAGATAGCAAAGCCTTAGAAAAGATTTTAAAAAATAAAACAGGGCAAGCGAAACATAATGAATTATATGCCTGAAATAGAAAATAAATTTAAGTGAAAAAAGCGTTGTGCGAATATAGATATTGACTAGAAAAATAACTTGAAGATTCACAAGATGTAAAAATAATTTAGTTACGAATTTATAAGTAAATGCTTCTAACTCCAACAAGAATCCATCATCGTCTTTGTAAGTAGAATTTGTCATAATTATCACCAACAAAACAAACTTTGACAGTGTTTTCGAAACTTGACGATATTTTCAGAAAGAGCTAGAGGACAGTGGACTTGGTATATTGCCAGCACTTCTCAGTGGTTTCTTTATC